ATATGGCTTAAAGGGCTTCGTTGTTTGGGATACGAAGAAACTGTTGATCAGTGTCGTCATGGTGGCTGGGGTAACACCGGTGGATGTGATCACAGCCGCGATGCTGGAGTGGTATGTGGCAATCTAACACCAGGTACAACTAGATAAGTTACAAAAGAAGACGTCCATATGATCTTTTTTTATCTTTATTCAGTCATGTCAAGAAACAATATTTTAAAATCAACAACTGAAAATTATTGCATTAGTTCGTTGCTATTTTTTCAAATATTCAAGTTACTTTTTGTGACAACGCTGTTTAGAATAGCTATCGATGTATATTGTGTATCTTTACTTTCTGAATATTAAATCAAGCAATGTTAGAATTGTGATTAGGATGTTGTTTGTTTATTGAACAATATTTGTTTTAGAGGAGAAAGCTATCAAAGTTCGTTTGGTGGGAAATCAAAATCATACTGGCAAAGTAGAAATCAAGTATCAAGGGACCTGGGGAGTAGTGTGTGATTATTGGTGGARTTGGTGGGATATACGAGATGCTCACGTGATCTGCAGAATGCTTGGTTACAAAGCATCTGAACACGCAATTTGGAATATTGAATGAGAGACACCAAGAAGAGGGCTCATGTATGATGTGGGATGCAGAGGTAGAGAAAAGTCGATARCAGAGTGTGCTCACCGTGGATGGTGGAATATTTATTCAGGGTGCTCGAATAAAGATCTTGCTGGTGTGGTTTGCCAGACAAACGAAGGTAAGAAAGACAAATCTCTTTACTCTGATAATTCAAATATCACCACATCAAAGCAAATCATCTAAATAGTTCATTTGGCGATCAGACACGAGCTTTAGTATAGCTCTACTTTTTCACTTTCAAACACTTGTCCAAGTGTCAGTTGTACAATGACCTCAATGATGTTGGTACAAATCCACAGATCCTTCACCAGTTCAAGTTCGTTTAGCTGGAGGAAGATCAGACAATTCTGGTCTACTTGAAGTCAGGTACCATGGTCAGTGGGGTACTGTATGTGATGATGGATGGGACATAAAAGACGCTGAGGTGGTGTGTCG